TTTTTGAGCATGTTAGCCACTGTTTTGGGCTTAGTATAGAGCTGTCTAACTAGTGTAAGTCCCTCCTTTGCATGGCCATTGCATGCTCGCCTTGCATGTTGTTGCATATTTGTGTGTTGTTGCATGATTGAAGTTGCATGATTGAATGAAGTCACATGCTTGCTTGCATGCTTGAACACCCGCATTGTATCTTGCATACTTGTTGGTTGCATTGCTTCATGCCTTGCATGATTGTTGTATGCCTTGTATGCTTCTTTGCATATCCATGATTGCATGCTAGCTCACATGCCTAGGTTGCATCACATGGGCACGCATGCTTAACCTCTTGAATTGATTGTGATGGAGATTGAGCCCCATTGTTTGTTTATGTGCATTTCACTCCACATTGAAAATGCACAACTTGGTTTCTTGGGCCATCACTCATTGAAATGCGCGATTGGTGGTCCGAGAATCGAGAACCATGTCCTTTTGAGTCATGAATATGATAAGGAGTGTGGTTGGTGCATACATTGCTTGAAATGCATTGCCATGCTATGTTTTGCCCTCTGCTGCTGTCAAAAACAGATTCTGCAGGAAGCTCTGGCCAGCCAGCCATCTCCAATGCCGACCGGCCATCCATCAATGGCCGATAGCTTGAACAAGTGGCTGGTGATCATTCCCTTTGGCCGGTGACCAATTCCATTAGCCGGTGGTGTTCCACAACACTTAGAGAAGCAACCCTGGGACTTGTACAGTTTTCAGAGGAGGATAATAGTCAAAGCAGAGGCAACTTGTGCATGGCAGTGGCTTTCTGAGCGGGGCCGAACACGCATTGCATTGGGCCCTCTTCCCGAGGCTGTTTACTGTTTTATTAGATTAATTAATTTGATAACTAGTTTAATTGGTCTGTAATATTTAATTAGCTTGTAGGTTAGTTAATTGTATTATTCTTTCGGTCCCTCCGAGCGAGGGTAAATTTGTAATAAGTGTGGATGCGTGTGTGCATGTCTTCCAACCCCCACTTCTTTCTCTCTTTTACTTTCTTGCTTTGATGGTTAGTATTAGGGCATATTTAATTTAGCATACCTCATGCTATGCATGCATGCATCATTCATTAGTATTGCATGCACCGGGCTTAGCGCATCATGCTAACTGCATAATTATTTCAAATCCAACTTGAATACATGCTATTTGTGCATTCCACATGCCATCCTAGGATTAGCCGAGCCTATCCTAATTGCATTCTGTGTGCATCGCATTAGGCACTTAACATGGACTTGGATCATACATTGATTGCTAACGAGTTCTTTGTTTTGGCTTGGAGTACACTGTAAGTCTTTCCGCTTTAGCATCCTCGCACGAGTGTAAATGTTAAACATGACAGCATGCTTACCATGTGGCTAGATGCTTATGTGATATAACTACTTGAATGCCTGTGGATGAAGGTTGAATTACCTAAGTTGGAATAATGCATTAAAATTGTGAGCTTTAAGCCCACTAAATAGTGGCAAAACCATGTTTTCAAAGCCCACTTGAGGGTGGCAAAACCTGCATTTTAGCTTACTTGCGAGTAGCAAACCATTTTCAAAACAAACAGGCAATGTTTTGTTCCAATTTAGGCGATTTGGTCTATACTTGTTTGCTGTGCGCATAACATAGTAATTCTAGGCTAATAACCGGAATAAGAGCATATAATGTTTTCAAAATAAGATATCATGGAGCGGGGGTGCTCATAGCTGACATTCCCTAATCGTACCCAGGTTCCCGAGCCGAGTCAACTTTTGTAATAACGGACACGTGGCCTTTGGCTCCGAGTCAGGGTTTCCTAAATTTCTCAAAATAAAATATTTAGGTGACGACTCTATATCTGGCAAAGCAGTCCATGTTTGGCACTTCTTTACAAAAAAATCTGTTTTCTCAAAACGAGTTGCCAGATTTGGACTCTTTGGTTCAGATTAAGAACCGTGACAATTCAAGAGTCCAAACTGTAGTGAGCCCAATATGAACAGAACGGGACTCACCCCCCCAGGGCGTTCGGGGACGTCTACAATCATAACCTAATTTAATAACGAATAAATTAAACTAAATAATTAAATTATTAATTATAACTGAAAACGGATTTACTGAATTGGGGAAAAACCTAGGGCGAAGAGTCCACCACTAGTCATGTAAATAGAGTTTTCAAATTGAAAACAATTATGTTATGGTTCGAACGGAATAATGCTTCGTAACTACAAGTTCAAAGCATTTTACAAGAAAATCATCACGTTCAATGTACGAGCACGAACCATCTCAAGTAGTACGAATCATTCACTCCAAACTAAGGTAGTGATACGACTCGTCTCTCGTAGTATGATTCGTCTCATACCTTGAATGTGAAAGAATAGAAAACTCTTGTATGGAAAACATTCAACAATCACAGAAAGTCGAATATTCTAAGAAATAATGAAAATATATATATATATATATATATGAAACTTCTAAAACACCATACAAGTGTTCAAACCTTTACATAATTGAAAATCCAAAAAGAAAAACCTATTAAATGGCTAGGGTTTCCTCAAAACCCTAGAAAATGAGACTAACCACTCATGGAGGAGTGGAATGAGGTAGATGGAGAAGAAGTCACCATGGGAGACATGCTTGAAGCTTCAAGTCCCTCTTCTTTTCAAACCCTAGCCTCTATTTCTTGACAAAACAACTTCAGAACCCTAATCCAACCTTTTTCTTACCTATTTATACTTCTGGTGTCTTTCCAAACAGGTTTAAAACATCTGGCATGTTTTCCCAAAAAAAGTCAACGCACGTGCAGAAAAGTCAACGCACCTGCGGGAAAGTCAACTCTCTCCAAATTTTGTCTTTTTTCCCATTTTATGCTCCGACTATGTATAACCTAATTGACATTCAACACACATAAAGTATACATTTTGACAGTCAAGTGAAATTAAGATATCCTAATTAACGACCTCAATGATGTACAATTCAGCATTAATTAATGAGTTAAGAGAAACTCTAGTATTTGCTGTGACAATACCCAAAAAATGGCACTTGAATCTCTTTGGGCCTTTGTTATAATCAAGCAAAATATTGGAGTATAAAATATTGGAAGAAATGATGATATTTTTATAGAGCTTAGTTTGGGAAAAGCCCCCAGAAACTTCCAATCTCTCTGATTGAAAGAAATCTCATTTCATTATCTTGGTTTCAATCTCCTAGCTTAATTTGTGTCTACAATGCCCCCTTTATTTGTAGGGTTTTGGGTTTATTTTTCATCCCTGTTTAAGCTTCTTTTTACATGTTGAGCCAGGGAGGCAAGAGGCTTGTGGTGGAAGGGTATTTTTGGTCATTAAGGGGGAGCTTCTATTTTTACACATTATTTTCATTCTATGCACATATTTAATGAAAAATATTTTTACTACAATTTTAATTTTAAGCAAAATTATTAATATAAGTATTAGTGTGCACATTTCATTTGAGATTCATATTTTCTTAGTATATATCTTTTAAAGGAAAAAAAAATCTCAATACACATCTATTATAAGAAAAACACTAAACGTTACTTCTATTGTTACCTTCAAAAATATTTTTTTCTTACTCATCCCATTGTCATTTTCCAAATATTATGATTTTTTCAATCCATTATCACCCTACTTTTGTTTACATTGTCACCTTACAAAGGTGCTCATATTTTCCAATTTATTATCAAATCCTCTCATTACCTTAGATTGGGTTCTTCCTCATTTAAATCTCACCATCATCATTTAGTTGTTATGAAAGATTTGCATGATGAAAGTATAATATATAAATAATTTAGAAAAGTTTTATAATACATCTCAAAAAAATGGGGTACCACTGGATTGAATTCACAATCTTTTGGAAAAAATTAATTATCACTTTGGCAAAAGCTATGTACCACTGGATTGAATTCACAGAACCCTAGCCCTAACCCTCTCAAAACCCCATTTTGAATTTACAAAACCCTAGCCCTAACCCACATTGGTATCTTCCAAACTTCCTCCCTTACTATTCTACCCACATTTGCATTTTCACAAACAAAATCAACATAAACAAAATCAACATAAATA